AAGCACCCTCTGTATAGGATTTAGTATGTTACAGTTTCAGGTAATGAAATATTAACATTCAAGCACCCTCTGTATAGGATTTAGTATGTTACAGTTTCAGGTAATAAAATATTAACTTTCATGCACCCTCTGTATAGGATTTAGTATGTTTCTGTCTAATTTAGATAAAATTAGAATTATTCATAATTTGTGTTTTTTCAAGCATTGTTCTATTTTAGCCACTTTTCTTACAACTTAAAAAGCTTTTTTTTTTGCAATTTGTATTTTTGTAAGATTTATTTTGACTTTTGTATTTGTTGAAAGTCATATTTCTGTTTTTGCAGGGCGTATTCTTTGTCTGGCATGGCATGAGTCAGGAGATGTTTTGGTTACTGGATCTATAGATGCAATTAGAATTTGGAATGTACAGACTGGTCATGCTAAAGATAGAATACTTGTAGGAAGACTTGAACGTAACACAGAGACAATCGTTTGGTGTTTGGCAGTGACCAGGTAACTTAGTGTAGTGGTCCATCATTTCAACAAGCAATGATAATTTAGTTCATGTAAATCTTCTAGAAAGAACTTGAATAAAAATTTTAAGTTTATGATAAAAAATCATGTACTGTTGCTATCGTATCAAAGCCATGTTTTCATGATTTGTGTTTTCCAATGTTGCCATGTAAATCCAGTTTGTCATGATTTGTGTTTTCCAATGTTCTCAGAATTGGTCGTTCCACATTTCATCAAAACCTTCTATGAATCTTCTATTTGGAAATGGTACATTGTCACATTATAAAAATCTTGTAGATTGCATGTCTGAATGTTTGTAGTTTCAAAGTAATTTATCTCTGAGTCTGTAAAATTGGGCTTTTGGACATATATGACTTTTTACATGACAACAGTATGTATACAAAATTTCAGCTACACTTACAATGATCATAAGTTGTTTTATGAAACTAGCTTACTAACTATTTGAGACTATTTTTTATAAAGCTTATTACTGCCCTTGGTAGTAAGTTTCATGTTTGGAGATTAAATACAGTGTGTAAACAATTTAGTTGAGTGTGATTATTTTATTCCTTCATCTTGTGGTACATTTATTACTGTCCTTGGTAGTAAGTTTCATGTTTGGAGATCAAATACAGTGTGCAAACACTTTAGTTGAGTGTGATTCGTTTATTCCTTCACCTTGTGGTACATTTATTACTGTTCGCAGCACATGAGAAATTTGTTCCTCTTTATGGTAAAACCAGTATCTAATGTTTTGTTTGATTTTTATTTTATTTCTACGAACTTTTTTAGAGCTATTGAGCTGCTCACATGTGTAAGAAATTTTAATAGTTAGTTACACTATATTTGTATATGTATATTCATTTTTTTTTACAATTTACAATGTGTATCAGGAAACAGTTTTAAACTTTAAGCCAATCCTAAATTTTTAAGGTGTACCAAACTGTCTTAGATACTAAGTGAACAGTGAATTA